ATTGGCCCTATATAAATAAACTAAACTGAATTAATGATCTATAGACATAGGTATTTTTTAAATTTTTTTTGTTCAAATAATAAAAGTGTAAAATAGTCTGTTTTTTCAACAATTATTGTTAAACTGAAATAATTTTATAGGCTCCTTAAAACACCAGATTATTTCTATTATATCTAGAAACCCCAGGAAAGCTTTATGATGTTTTCTAGCATAACTGTGATTCAGAAAATTTAGAAAAATTATAATTTACAGGCTTTACAATAAAGAAGAAGAGAGAATGCAAAACCAACAACAAGATACTTTTGCAAAGTTTCAGTTTAGTTTCAATGAAAAGTGCTGCTCTGGGCTACATCATGTTTCTGTCTATGAGGTCTAAACGCTTTAACAGTTACAGCAATAAATAAACCCATGATAACAAGAGATGATAAAAGGCAGATTGTTTACCCAGGAGCCTCTGTTAAGTTTATACAGGCATGCTGACCAAAAACAATCAACCACCAAGCTGTGCAAATTAGTAATTAAAAACATAGATCCTTTTCCATAATGTATTGTTTTCCTGCCATAAATCTAAAATCAGTTGGAGGATATCATGCATTTTATACATCTAAAGTGTTAGCATCATTTAGCTTATTCACACAACCAACTCTACAGTACAGGAAATGCAGAACAGATAGAGAGTCGGTGTTGTGGATGCAAACAGCAAATCCTCTGTACCTGGCAGAGAAAATGTCCTTGTGTTATTCTTCCATCATCAGCTCTGATTTGAGAAAAATTATCTTCAAGCTGAGGGAGATTAAAAAGAAACCTCAATTATATGTGACTGCACAGTTTACCAGAGGAAATAAAAAAAAAACTTCAGCCAAGATATTCTCTGCGTATCCATTCTGTGCTGATTAAGAGCATCTCTATTAAAACAGAACAAAGAAAGGGTTTTCTTTATGGATTTTAGATCAGATTTACAGAATAAATAATAAATATTAAGTTTATTTTCCGGGAGATTAACTTTCAGTTATCAAAGAGCAAAACTACTAAAGTGGCATTAAATGGATCATTTTTACTGAGGCGTCTGTTCGAATGCTACCTTCACACCGCAAGCAGCAAGACCGGCAAAAATGCGCGTGCTAATTCATTTTTTATGCTTGTACAAGGCTAGTTCTGACGCGCAGCTCTAGCTGCACGGTGGTAAAGTGGGTCTGATGAATGTTGGCCAGAGCTACCCTATCCTTTCTTTGCCTGTAACAATGGCAGCTATATTTGCTGTGATAAGTTGGTAAAAAGTAGATTTAATGTCTTTAAGTGAGAAAGTCCACCTGAAAACTTCATCTGTGCATTCAGTTCATCCAGATTACCATCCTGCCTTCAAATATTATTTCACTGTCAGAGCAGCTCAGACCCCCACATACCAGCGGTGTGCTATTACTAGGAATCCCATTCAACAGCAGCCTCTGGTCCGGTCGTCTCTTCGTGGTTTGCCACAGCAGCTGGAAGGCGTTTTTCATGTAAACTGCAGGCACCAGAATAATAAAAGCAAACATGTTTTTCTGGCAGATTTCGGCATTTTAAGTTAATTTAGGCGTTAATAAACTGTTTCAGAGGAGTGATCATAGTGATCTGCATCGGCAGCGCGCAGTCTCTCTCCCTTCCAGCTCCCAGATCAGCTTCTCTGATTGGTTGATGTGATGCATCCGGCAGCAAAAGTTTAATATTTCCAACTTCAGCGTCCCGCATGTCAGATGCTCAGAATCTCACAACGAGCTGCTCAGACGCGCTGCTCCTGCTGCTCCAAATGTGCTGCAGGACGTTTTGCTGCACCTTGACACGTATCAACCATTGACTTTGCATGTAAACTAGCTGCTCCTGTTGCCTTTGCTGCTTTAGGTGTGAATGTAGCTTTACTTGCTACCTGCTGCTCAGTGGGACCTGATTGGTTTAAATCAGAGGTCTTCAACATGGGGTCCATGACCCCTAGGGGGTAGCGAAATACTTTTTTTTTATATTTCCCCCTGCAAATTTTTCCACTAATTTAAATGTCTTTAAATACATTTTAACGTGAATGAAACGGTGCCCAGCTTGTGCGTCGCTCCTGTGTGTCGCTGAATGTGTGCATTGATGACTGAAAGACATCTTCTGCCTCCATTTATCTGTTTACTAAAGTGTGTTGAATTTATAACACCTGTCCCATCAATGAGGAATCAGAAATACTTTAATGACCTCAGGGTGAAATTACTTTTGTTACATTACTCCATCTGTAATAGAGGGACTATAGGACCAGTCTGATATAACACAATTTCATACACAATATATAAATAGGGGGTCCCCGCTCCATCTCGCCATCAGTTTGGGGTCCTTGGCCTGGAAAATGTTGAAGACGCCTGATTTAAATCTTTAAACACGACCATAAACGGTTTTAATCCTGCACTGTTTTCTTCCCATTGATCCTCTCTATAAATAGCTGAGAGCACAAAGAGAAATTGATCTGGACAAAAAGGATCTGTTTGAATCCATTAAATAAAAAACAGCAGATGCAGCGAGAGGTGAAGCACACGCTGAACCGGGTCGCTACTGGAGTAAGAGTTTCCCCTTCGCCGATAGTTTAACATCCTTTGCTCTACCTACATCTTATAAGCTCTTTGTCCAAGAAGCACAGCCTCTCACATGCTGGCATAACCATGTTGTTGCCACGGCAACACTAGTGGACAATTATGTCCTTAATTAGTCCTTACTTCATTATGTTTTGCTCTCTTAAAAAGTTACCTTCTTGTCATCTTTGTTTTTTATTTAACTTTAAGTTGATTAAACAAAGAAATCCAACAACAAAAAAAAGGCAGTGATGTTTTTTTTCCATTTATTCTTTCCATTCCAAGTTTCCTGGGCTGAAAAGTATGTTTTTAATAAAAAGATGCAGCTACTTAAAGGCAAAGCAAACTGGTTGTGATGTGCTGCCAGTAATAAAGCCGGTAATTCAGGTCAAAGTTATTCCATAAAAAGTGAAAAAACAATCCATTGGTGTTTGTTTTCCAAGTTTGTAGACGTTTCGCTTCCCATCCAGGAAGCTTTCTCAATTCAAAATGTCAGAAATAGCGTTGAGTTCCAGGTTTTTATAGAGAAGCCAAACAAAGCCTTGTTATGGCTTATAAAACACGCAAATTGAACCGGAAGAACAGGTCTGCCCCTTAGTAATGGGGGTCTTTGAGGTTGTTGTTGCAGGCGAGTTGCTGGTAAAGATTCTCAGTCATCTATGTCATAGTGATTCCAAAAAAGTAAAAAAAAAAATTTTTAAAAGAAAAGTTTTCAGAATAATTCAAAGACTTTGCAAACGCAGTTCAACATTTAAAGCTGGCACCAGGAGAAGCCTCTTTGATGTAGCTTGACTTTTCACGTACATACCTATATCAGGCCTTAATTTAAAAAGTAATAATTGAATGACTTCTAATAATTTTTAATGACCCCCGGAAACCCTGGAACAATATCTTCTTTTTGAATAACAAAACCCACTGGAACACAAACTTTCTGCCATGAGAACCTTACAACATCGGGCCGAGCATGTCCCTACTAAAACAGAGGTGAACACCAATGGGCCTCAGCAGATGGCCGCTCACACTGAGCCTGGTTCTGCTGGAGGTTTCTTCCTGTTAAAAGAAAGTTTTTCCTCTCCACTGTCACTACAAGTGTGCATGGTGTGAGGGATTGCCTTTGAGTCAATGAGTTGATGTAATCAACTGGTTTTGCTTCGATAGAAAACTTTGAATCAGTTTGATTGTATGATCTGGTCGAATTGTCTCTGTACAGATGAGATGTGTTGTGAATTGGCGCTATAAAAATAAACTGAATTGTTCGGTCCTTTTATGTCACATTTTATAGAAGCATATGTGGATTGGATTACAGCTATGAGTGTTGCATGTTTTTTGGCCTCTTTTTAGCACAACATCCAAAGCTCAGCCAGAGTGAAGGTTGACAGTCATCTATTCATAAGGGGAACTTTTCCCTTTTGTCAAGTCTGCTTATTTATATTTGGGATCAAACTCTGACAACCTTCCCTGGAAATAATGCTGCCATCACCATGCCTAACCCTTAAAGAAGGGTTTGGTTTAGATTGACAGGAATTCTTCCTCCTCATGATGCTTTGAACACCAATGCGCTCTAACAAGCCTCTTTGTTTCACAATGACGATTTTGCCTTGGTCTAGCAACAAATAAATGAATAATTGCACTTATATAGAATGATAGCCTACTTTATATACATCAAAATATAGAAAAGAAGCACACTGCCATGAAAAAATAATAAAATTAATTAAGGAAATTCACAAAAACTCTGATTTTTGAAAGGTCTAAATTATAAAATGTTTTTTATTAAAACACACAAGGTGGTGGTAGAGAAGCTGGAGATCTTTAGAAAAAAAAAAACTAAGGGGATTAAAACTGAGTGCCTCCATGTCCAGACTGAGGATCTTAAAAGGCTGAACAAGGAGAACAAAAGAAGAAAGTAGAATAAAAACAGAGCTTACCAGGAGTAACCCTCTTTACCAAATCCAATCATGTTTATTGAACCGCTGTTGGTGTCAAACACAAACGGAGCCTCTAACAGACTCATTAATATTCATGATGGAGCCTTGCTGGAAGCATGAGTTCCAACAGCAACAATGTGAAAGAGACTGTGTCCTCCAGCCTCCTTCAAGGGTGAAGGCGGGCCCCAGAATGGCCCCACTTCCCTTCTCTCTGGGCTCCACGCCATCCCATCACACACAAACACACAAGCTGCTACAAATTCAGGGGGCACAGAACAATCCACCCTCCTTGAACAGACATCCCCTCCTTCAGGGCTTACTGGCAGACAAACCCTCCAGTTTGTTCCTGTAACGGTTTAAACGACCTAAGGATGAGGTCACCCCCGGGGTGCATGGGAAGCTCTCAGTCTATCCCGTCTGAGAGCGAAGGCAGCTTCGGGTGTTAATCAGGAATCCTACCTTAAGGCTGGTGTTGGACTGTGGATGGCTGAGGTTGTTGAATCTCCATGGTTCAGACGGGGTATCAGCAGCGTCTCTCTGGTATTCAGAGGACAGGCCATCGCTCCCAGGAAGTTGGAACACCATGGAGATGGGGCGCTCTTTCCTACAGACAAAGACAAACGGCTGGTTTAGACTCAGTGGCTTCAGTAATACACTTTAACTGCTCTATTCAGAATAACCAACAAACTTTATGCTTCAATTCATATAACAGCTGAACTATAATTTAATTTATAATAAAAATTTCAAAGATGAGCAAGAAAAAAAAACATACAATAGAACTTGAAGCTTTCTAAATGTTAAACTGCACCAACTACCAGGTTCAGGTACTGATTGGAGCAGCTAAAAGTTGTAGGGATGGCCATCAATGTGTTTCATTACAATAGGTTGTTAAGACCCTTGGCTTTCACTCATTATGAGGCTTTTTCCACTAGACTGCTTTCCAACAAAACAAAAATTACATTCTAGCTCTGAAAAACCAGTCTATCAATGGCTCTAAGAAAAAAGAACTGATCAGATAGGCAGCAGGTGTGTTTCCATGGGAAACAGCAACCAATCAAACCGTCTTTAAAAAGGGGTAAAACATGATTTTTTTTTCTTCATTTTTGATCAGTCAAATTAAAAATAAATAGTAAAAACATGTTGGTTCAATGTTTGATTGGAGCCAGAACAACAGGTGAACTGACTCACCTGTTGTGGAGTTAAGGAAGGCAGCTGCTTCTAGCTGCACTCAGCTGATTATTTTCCACTCAATCCAGGAGGGATTATTTCCACATCATCACTGCTCATTTAATCTAAGCAGGTGCTGTTAATAAAATTCGCTCTAAAGGCTTCAGTTACCTCCTGTTTTCCAGATGAGGTCCGATAATAAGTTACGGCTGAGATATCTTAGCAGCTATTTGGAAGATATGATTGTTCAGATAAAACAGGGGGAGGATCTAACTCTGAATGGATGAGATGTTGCTAATCTACCATCTTTTTCATCCAATGTCTGCTCTGGATTTTGGATTTCTTGTTTTCCATATAAAAAGAACAAAACACAAAGTAAAATTGCTGAATGCTGCCAATATTTATCCATTAAACGTTATGCAGACTTACTTCTTAGTCCTTAAAATATTTCAAACTTCAGTAATTTTAGTAAAGTATGAAATTATTAATCCGATCTGCTTCCATCTTGCAGGCCGTTCATACCCCTCAGATATTCGAAGACAGACTTTTCTGGTAGTGTCTAAACTGAGTGAATAACCATTACTATGGTCAAACTTTTATTTTTCAGCTGACCATTGTATTTGCCATAACAGCTAGCAGTACAAAAAGGGCTTTTCCTGAACTAAATACATGACATTTTGTATATTCCTTTAACAATTTAAAGCTTCAGTATTTTTATTTCTATTCCTCATAACTTTAACCTGTAATTATTTTTTTGCTCCCGTAAAACAATCGGAAGAAAATAATAAGACATACAGAAAGTGAATGCCTTCTAGATGTGCCTGCCTGCCAGAGTTTAAGCTACCCTTAAAGAACAGGCACTCTAATTAAATGCATTTAAATAGCTGTGATCATATAAAAATGCCCAAGAAGTTGGAAAACTATTGCAAGCCAAAGCAAACCTGACCCTAGTCACTGAGGAAAACATTGCTGAAGCCTTTTGAATCTATCAATGAAGCCCGTTTTACCTCCAACATTTAGAGGGACTCAAATCTATCTAATAAATGGACGGTCTCAATAAATCATGGAGTTTGATCCCTTTCTCTATTTAGACCTACTTTGATTCTTTAGGCTCATCCTGTCTGTCGATAAAACGCCCACATGGCAAGAGGAAAGTGACAGCATGGCTACGACGTTACTGTGGCTACCGAGAGAACAGGGAAGGCAAATATCAGAACACGGAGCTGAAAGCTGGTACCTGCTTTGTCTGGGTATGGAGGGCAACGAGGGAAGGGCAGGTAAGCCTCCGGTAGAGACAGAGTAGTGAACCAGCAGCAGTACAGACAGAGAGACCAGCACAGCAGAGTTGATGACCACCGCTCCCCCGACAAAGCCAAAAACAAACAGCAGCATACACCCAGGGCTCATGGCCCTCACCCTGGACCCAAAGGTGGGAGGGCACAGCTGATAACCAAGGTCCCTGAAGCTCTCTGTCGTTTGCCGGTGTAGCTACATCTGCAGTAGACTTCAGAGACCGTAGGTGCCCCTGGCTGGGAGTCGATCCACAGCTCTGGATAGGAGAGCTGAGAGCAGAGGCAGAGCAGCAGAGGAACAATGTGTCAGCAAAAGTAATCCTGATGGATTGAGGCAGCAGCAGGGAATCATCCACAGAGAGTCAGACCAGGCTGGTACCAGCAGCGTCCGTGCTCTGCTTCACTCCTCTTCCTATCATGCAGTTAGATGCATGGCGGCTGCTGCTGTGCGGTCTAGAACACTCCGACGCTGTCCCCCTCCTCACAGCCACAGCACCCAGCACCCCTCCCTCTGGGTCTCTCTCTCTCTCTCTCCATCTCTCCCTCTGGTTAGGATGCTGAGGCAGCTTGTTCCATATGCCTCTCCTCTGCCTACAGCCTATCAGCTTCCAAACAGGAAGCCGGGTGAGAAATGTTTGTGTCTGTGTCAGGGCTGCTATGGAGCTGGCCGCTTTTAAAAGACGTTCCTCACAGAAACTAGATAGTAACGTGTATTTTCATGTAGCAACACTAAATCCCATTCCGTTAGATGTTTGCAGAACCTGCCATAGTGGGAAGCGATCTTTGCTTTAGCTGCCTTATTTTTATCTGCCAAAGTGCTTATCTTAATGTCCTAAAACAGAATTTGATTAATATGAAACTCCCTTAAGTAGGTTCATCATTTTCACTGTAGATGTGCTGCAGTGTTTGGAACAACTGCTCAGTTAAGAAGGCAACATTCAGCAAAGTTTCACTAATTTTGGAGTCAGAAGGAACAGGGCAGCCTCCCAAACACTATGTGAGTCGCCCATTAGCCTGTTCTAAATATAGCTCAACCCATCGGTAAACTGCATCCCTGTTTCTTAATTTATTTTACCACTAATCCTTTTTCATCACACTGGATTTTACATAAAAGCATTTTAAAAAACAATAGTGACCCTACTCAAGAGTATCATGATACTCTAGAGCCGTAATGGTGGAAAGGATCAACAAAAAAGGGTGAGAAAAGTTTGACAAATTGCCCTTTATTTGTTAAAAAAAATTTTTTATAAAGGATTTTTAGGCAAGAATTTAGACTTCTAAAAATCTAAATATCTGCTTGGTGCAGCTGAACGTTTGCCTGGTTCAGTCTCGCTAACACCTGGAAAAAAAGCCAGGTGTTTTAAAAACTCTGCTGGTAATCATCACTGAGCGGAAGTTAAACACAGCTGGAATGCAGTTATAAGACATTTTATTGTCAATGTTTGACTTCTTTCAGCATTTCATTTGATAGTGCAAAGAACGGTTGAGATTAGTGCAAAGCTGCATTATGGGATCATTTTATTCATCTGTATATGCATTTCGTACAACTTCTTTTTTTATTTCTTCATCCATCCATCTCTTTCCTCTCATTGCATAAGGATCGCGATGGGACTGGTGCCTATCACCAGAAGGCACCGGGAAGGAAGGGTAAGCCCTGGGCAGGTCGCCAATCAGTCACAGGGCAACACAGACATACAACCATGCACACACACACACACACGCTCGCACTTAAGGACAATTTGGAGAGTCCAATTAACCTAACTGTCATGTTTTGGACAGTGGGAGGAAGCTGGATCACCTGGAGAGAACCCACACATCCATGGGAAAACATGCACCCGGAAATCTCTTGCCACAAGGCAGCAATGTTACAAACTGCATCACCATGCCCCAAATTTTCTAAAAGTTTCCCCGCACTGTAAAGGGTGCTTGATCCACATCCTCAATATTTACCGTGTGTAGACGTAATGGTGTTAGGGGCTTTAGCACCACAAACATCAGTCGGAGATCAAGCTTCCAGAGTATGCAGCCTGGATCGAAGAACAAAATGGGCGTGGCCAACAATGTTCAGCATTGATTTGAGCAAAGGAGTGACCCTTATGGGTTATTTCCCAAATTAACTGGCTGAACTGCATTGAGATCTCCATGGAGGCTGACAACTACAATAATTAAAGCTGATCCAAGTCTAAAACAACAAGTCAACATGTCATTTCTCTGCATCAGATTCCACTAATCAAAGCATTCCTTGTATGGAGGATGGTCTTTGCTCTTTTTCAACCTGCAGAGGTGCTGCTGGGTTTTAATCAGGTATTATCACTTACAGATGAACAGCAAAACTCTAAACAAGACGTTAAATGAGTTACGTTTACGTAAAAAGGAAGATTGAACTGATAGCAGGAAAAAGTGTGCTGCTGTCGAACCGTCGTTTAGTTGATGTTCCTGAATCTGACGGCTCTGATGGTGTTGTTGCATGCTGGTGTTTAGCTCGCTCCAGGTGCTCCATGTAGCTGTGGATCATCTACAAAACAACAAACGAGTTAGGTTAAAGAAGATAATCCAGTAAATATAGAGTATTTTTCCTTTAAAAAAGAAAGAAAAATGGATGCATCTGTAAATGACCTATTGCTACTTCATGTAGTCAACAACAACGACAGTAGGAGCTATGAAGTGAAGATGTGAATAATATAAGTGAGGTGTGTGTACTAAGAGCGTGGAGCTAACAGCTTTCATCTTTTTGTAACATAATTCAGATCAGCAGCATGCAGCTGCAGCCCGAGAGGTTTGGAGAATCAGACACCGGCTGGTGATTCATAATGGATGACTACCAGAGATCAAAGGCTAATTTTACCTTTGCCTGATGCACTATCGCTCCACTATGTGACACATCTACTTTATTCTTTATTTATTCAAAACTAGAATCAGAAGGACTAAAGGGATTACCAGTTAAAATTTAGAATTTGTTTCATTTGTAGTCGAGCAAAATTTTAATTCCCCTTGAACCAAACTATTGATCTTATTGGGAATTTATGGGATAAAGCAAATTTTTTAACAAATAAAATATAAGTGTATAAGTCTTTTGTACTCGGCCGTTTTTTTTTTTTTTTTTATCAGTTCCAGCAGAGTCTGGCTCCCAACCTTTAATCTTTCATTTTTCTCCAGCTCTGACAGATTGGAGGGAAAGCAGCTGTTTACAGCCTGGATTGAGGAACTATAACATTAAAAAATCTCTTATCTAAACCTCACCATAGTGGCTCTGTCAGTATATTTATTCTTACTGAGGTAATAGCTGTGGACCTTAAGTTTTCTGCAGCCTCCAGCAGGTTTTCTTCCAGCATTTTCCATCCTATTAGTTGCATCAATCTTTCAGCCATCACATGCACGTCAATATGTGGTGTTTTCTTTGCTACCCT